AGAAAGAAAGAAAGACCACTAACATCAGTGGAAGAGCACAGCCCATCAGGGTGTCCCCTGGGATGAGTTAGCACTGAAACTTCCAGAAAACCAAAAAGCATTCAACATGATCAATACTGGCCACCTAAATTTTGAAAACAACTGCTGAAGACTGAAACTTATGTTGAGATGTTTGTTCTACTGGTGATTAGTCACAGAGTCAATTATTTTGGATATCACAATAATAAAGGCAAATAAATTATCAGTATAACAAAAGATGCTTACTTTCCTGTTTTCTGTGTTCTACATCCTTCTAAACTACGGAATCATCCATTCTCCTATTTCCAAGCAAAAAAGCCCAGACAGTAAAGTGGGTAGGTACACGTGAGAGTCAGGATGAGAATCTAGATATCTTAGATTCCTAATCCATAATTATTTTCATAAGATACACTGCATCCCTATAAAGGCATATAACAAAGGCATACATTTGCCGTATGCATCCAAGTTATGTTACATAGTCATGAACATGTGGTTTCACATATTAACTCTGATCTAAAACTAATATGTTAGCAGCGACAAATATTTCTTTAACAATTATTATGTTTGCCCTTCTAAAGATTATAAGAACTTTTTGCTAAATAATTTAGATGGCTTAAGTCTCTTAAAAACAGGTAAATGAAAACTTGAACTGATGGCACCTTTTTTCCTTTAAAAAATTTCCTTATCTCAAGGACATTTTCTTCAAAAAGATAAATTACAATTCCACGGAAATGTCTGAGAATTAAAATTTATAGAGAACAAGTTCCTTGAATTTTTTAAATTTGTCTTAGGTCTCCAGAACAGAACCTGAAAGAATAAATGAGTCTAGTTTGAACACAAAGCTACCTACATTGTTGGTTTTGAAAATGCTACAATTCTCAGTATTTTTTTTTTTCTGTCTTCCATTGTAGATTTAAGATTTTCCCTTTTTGTGCCATATTCTTTTGTCAAATCTCCTTGTGAATTTGTTTAGGTATCTTGATGACGTTTTTGGATATGGATCTACCCTTAAACATCCATCCACACATGCTTAGAAACTGCTTCACTCTCAGACTTAGAAGTTTAGAAATGTTTGATTTCATTTATATCCCCAATTCTTGGTACAGTGCCTGAGAAATTTATAAATAAATATTGGTTGAATGAATGATTTCTCCTTAGCTCTTAATACTTTCTTCCTGGACCAGCTTACCACATATATTTGGTATATAATCAGCAAATGTAAACAAGACAAAAAATTAACTACACATGTACGCAGAGTGAGAAAAATATTTTAAATGGCATATATAATTTCAGACTTCCTAGAGTTCACTATAATATCATCAATGATATATGGGCATTTTACTAGACCTATACATATGTTAAATATAAATAGCTAAATCTGAATCTATTATTATTGATTAACTTAGAAAAAAACCATTGCTGCAAATATTTCATGAACTTTTTTGAATTTACTTTTAGCTATTCATTTTCTACTTGTACATTTAGAAGAGGTACGTTAATTCTACTTATAACAGAAACAATACAATTTTGTACCATGAAATGAGATCCAATTACTGTAATGAAAATAGTAGCTGTAATAGATTTTGTTCCTTTTAGTCACTGTTAATTTTAAGTACTAACATTACTATAAAGACTTAAACTCTGAAGTCATAAATTTTTTTCATTTATAAAAACTTGGATTACAAGTGAGAGGCATAAAACATCATTTCCAAGAATGTATAAGCATGTAAGTTGTGTTTAGCATTTAAACAATCTATGACTGTGTTTATCAACTACCAAAACAAAAAGTTACTGGGAGTACTCAAGACATATTTTCTCTCAGAATAAAGATTGTTAGTATTATTCTAAGAAATGAAAGTAAATTCAAGATCTGATGTTGCAATAATTAATGAGACACCAACATTTTCTTACAAAAACTGCATTTGTCACTTCTTGCCATCTTAAGGAATATATGTTCCCTGGAAAGACGAGCCTGGCCTTCTTTAGTTTACAGTTCCAGAAATATTCTATAGTTACTTAAGCTGAGTACTGTGCCTCGATGACTCAGATTGCTAGGAATGAACCATCTTTCCCTTTTCTCTGTAACATAATGTACTCCATTCCTAAAGAACATGATGAAGAAAGTAATATTAAAAACTGGAAACTTAAGGTTATAATCTTCTTTAACCCTCTGTCCACCAAGCCAAGTACGCTAGTATAGGTTTCAGGCTTCAGGCAAACATCAATGGACTTATGTGTTCTCATTTATACGGTAATATATATATGTAGTATATTACCGTATAAATGTGTGTGTGTGTGTGTGTGTGTGTGTGTGTGTGTGTGTGTATCTATCTATCTATATCTATATCAATCACAGAGATTCATATTTTGCTGTTTTGGCAAAAAGGAAACTCTACGTCTCTTTCCAAGGAAACCTTGGAAAGCTTTTCTCCGTGAATTAATGATACGATGATCCTATGCGCAACAAACCAGAAAATGATCTTTACTAATAAACCAAAGTAAGTATCGAAAGTTAGATAAATAATGAAGACAGACTGAAATTACTAGTTTAGAATCAAATCACAAAATATGTCTAACTTGATTAATTTTTAGGTTTAATGTCTGTTATACAGAAACTTTCATAAGAGCAGAGACATAGTTAAATATACCAATCTGAGACAAAAAGTGAAGTATCATAGACTAAACCACTGAATCTTATACCCAAGGGGTAAACATCTATCCCAATTACCTTTCCCATTAATTATGAGTAAAGCACAAACTGAGATTGGATTTAGATAAAATAATGCAAAATTTGGCTTCTAATAGTGTGTGCTTATCCAGTAGGTCTTGGACTAACATGAAATCAAATTCTGGACAGAATACTAGAAACACAAACTCCTCCAAAATGCACATGATTTGCAATTCTCGGTCTCAGATAAATGTAATTAGAGAAATCTCATCTCCTCAGGCAGAAAGATGAAGTCTTTCTGTGTACTTGTGCTAATTTGTACTAATTTGACTTTTAGTATAGCACTCTAAGATAGCTTCATTTGTACTCAGTGCCTCGAGTTATGAAAATGAAAACAGCTGCTCTACACCTTGCTGCTTGTGTTTTTTCTTCCCTTTGTCTCCTGTTTAAATTTTCTTTTCTGGCAGTTTCTCTAGCTAAATACCTTCTAATAAGCTGTAGGGCATCGATTCCCTCACCATCATTCTCCCCCAACCTTTTTTTACCCAGAGTATCAAACAGCACTGTCTCTGCTTTGCAATTGTTCTCAGGACTCAAAACAGCACTAGAACCCGACCGAAAACTAAGAGGCAAGAGAGTCAGAGATTGAATAAAGCTTACTTTTTGCTAGCTATTTTGTTACTCATTTTAAAAATTAATTTCCAGTATGTAATATTTCTTATAAAGTAGGCTAGATACTTTCAGCCCCTTCAGAACCTCATTTTAAAGGTTTTTGACTCTATAAATGGGAAGGATATACAGTAATTCGTGTTAAAAGAACTAAAGGAAATTTAAGTTTGATTCAGCTAATCTAAGTAACTTGAAAACCAAACAAATCAGACTCTCAGAGCTAGTGGAGACAAATTAAAGACTTTAATACATCAACCTATTTGATAATAATTTGCCAACACACTAATTAGTTGCATTAACATATAAATAAAATACAAGAAAATAAACCAGATGTAAATAGTATGATAGTTTTTAGGAGTAGAAAAAAGAACTACATATAGGAAAGGTCTACAAAAATAAGCACATTTTACCTGTCGTCATCTTGTGAGAATCGCCTTTGCAAATCCTCTTTATTCCACTGTTCTTTTTCATTCCCTTGCTCAGGCTTATCTTGTGTTTTTTCCTCGTCTCCTGATTCTCTGTGTTTTTCATTATTACACGTTTTTGTAATCAAAACTTTCCCATTCATTAATTCTTTCTTCCTTTACCTCTTCCTCCTCATGAACTATCTCTTCACGTTTATCCCCTTCTTTCCCTCCCTCTTCTATTCCCTTTGGCCTTTGAAAGCAACAGAAATCGAAGGCATGCAAATAAACACACAAAAAAGGAAAAGTAAGAAAAGATGCATATAAAATTAAACAGAAAGGTAATGAAAAGTACTAAAACATAAATAAAAATTACATCTTCTCAATGTTGAAACTTTTTTCAGTATATTCCAGAGAAGCACTGTGTAAGCAACACTTCATCATAATTGTTTTTAAATCACATTTTCCTGCTACAAAGTTGCATGGAAAAAAGTTGTGGTCTCTCCATTATAGATTTTTTTGATACAATAAAAGTAAAAAAAAATAATTTAGCTCATGTGCCCATAAAATCTAAAGGTCAGGTGATAAACCCAAATTATACTACCACATACTAACATTTATAAATTTTGAGAAGCTGAGGACTTTTTCATGCATTTATAAAAGTTTCGAGAGGATAAAGGAACATTCTATTTAAAAAGTAATATTCTAAATCACTGAAATATATTCATCTGGGAAAAAAACTCTCCAAAATATGATTTTTCATATTCCTTAGTTGATTAAAAAAATTCAAGTCTTCCCAAAACTGTCACTTTAATTTCAGTAAAGACATAATAACAGAATTACTTTTTAAATACTAAATATTAAAAATAACATATTATTTCAAGTGATTTAGTAAGAAAATTGTTATAAGTTCTATAAAATTCTCTTTGTGAGAAGTTTGAAATGTTGACCAAAATATAATAAAAAGTAATACGTTCAGACGTTCTTATTGCCTTAATGACATACATTGACCAAATAAAGGATTTTAGTTTATCCAAAGAAAAATAAAGACCTTCTAATATATAATTAGGAGTTTCCTGCTAAAGTCTGCTTACCTGATTTTCTTGTTTCCTCTTGGCCGTTCTGATTGGACAGACATGTAGCTTGTGCTGCTGAAACGAGAAGCACTACTAGTCCTTGAAACCGCAGATATATCACTTACATCACTGTCCGAAGATTTAGTGGAAATATTATCTGCCCCTCTATGAGGATCCCATCCTGATCGATACTGTTAACACAGATTGACAAATACGCAGAAGTTGTCAGTATTACCACACAAAGCAATTATTAGCTTCTCCTATTTCAGCACTTTATTGTCCACAGAGGTTACTGCAAAACCCTCACTCAGTTGCATATAAAACAAAAGTGAATGGCAATTATCCTAAAAGAAAAATTCAATTTATATGAAACCCTTGTTTTTAGCAAAGGCAATTAGAGCATTTTCCGCCACACCCCAATGAAGGCCATTAAAAAGTTTCACAAGAGCAATGGCCTCAGGGAAGAACACTTAGGTAAAATCTGGGAAATAAATATTTGGCTTAATATGAGAAAGTAAAATTTTTTTATTTCTAAATAATTTCTAAATAAAAATGTTTGAAAAAAAAGAGTATGACAAAGTTGCCGCTGTACTGTAACTTAAAGAAACCAATTTTTGTAGCCATCAATTTTCTCTTTAATCCATTATGCTTCACTGAAAACCTAGAGATAATACAAAATCTAATTATTAAAACACTAACTTTTTAGAAGAGCCAAGAGAAAAGACGAAGTTTAATTTCTGAATGGTTGCTGGAATTTTGATGAATCCTAGAAATACTAGAAAAAGTAATTATTATTTACAATAATTCAAACTTCCTGAAATTGAAATAATCAGATAGTTATCTGGCACAGCCAGGGTGCAGGGTGTTCTGGGTGTTCAAATATTCTGGTAAATCGAAAACCATCATAAATGCTTTATGTTAATAACATTGGGATGTAAAAAATAATACTTTAGAGTCTGGAAAACTTAGAGTAAGGAAAACTCTTACTAGCCAGGTAAACTTGAGCAAATTATTTAACCTTTAAAAGCCTGTTTATAAAATAATAGGGATATCTTCCTTTCAGGATTGTTTTAAAAATTAGAAATACAGTAGACACTAAAACAACCCCAGGATCAGGAGAATTGACTCCACGCACAACTGAAAATCAGCATATAACTTTTGACTCTCCTAAAACAACTACTAATGGCCTACTGTTTACTAGAAGCCTTACTGATAACAGAAATAGTCAATTAACACATGTTTTGTATGTTATACGTACTATATACTGTATTCTTACAACAACTATAAGCTAGAGAAAATAAAATGTTAGAAAATAAGAAAATAAGAGAGAAAATATATTTACAGTATTTGTTGAAAAAACTCGTATAAGTGGATCTGCACAGTACAAATCAGTGCTGATCAACTGTCAAATATAATACATGTCTGTTATCTGGTACAACGTAAATAAATGCAGCCAGTATTATTACTGTCCTGAAGCTATTACTGGGTTAAGAGAATACCTACTAATAGATTATTCTTTAACTCTATGCACTTTAAACATGATACTGAAATATCTTTATCTAGTCAATTTTGCAATGGAAATTTTTCTAAGCACAGATAGTGGTAAATTTCACAAAGCCTTAGAAAGATGATTATCTTATATAAACCATTTATTGTGACTTGAAGAATCATTACTTAATAAACAGGTCTGTATGAATAACATTCACTGCAAATAATAGAGATAAACATTTGGCTAAGAAAAAATTAATTGCACTAGGGTGTAGTATAAACATTACATCAGATTCAAATGATCTGGGTTTTTTTTTTCCAGGATCTTCCAGGATCCTTTTCTTCAAGTATACAATAAAGGGATTATTTCTAAGGTTCCACAGAATTTTAAATATTAAATCCTAAGCTAGAAATCACATTCAAATTAGGTGAAATATTGGCCTTTCTTATTAGTCCACTTTAACTTTTCACTTTGTTAGACGAACTCTCAGTTATCCCAAATAATACAATTAAATTCTTCAAACAATCACTGCCTTTTTTTTTTTTAAAGGAAATTTCCATGTAAACAGAGCCCTCATGTTTTATTTTAAAGAAAGATTATTTATTTACAGTGGATTTATTTGGAGAACATCTAGTCCATGATATTGTTTTTCAAACTAAACTAAAGTCATTTTAAAATATCAAAAACAAGTTACTTTAAATGAAAATGTCTTCAGCCATTAACAAGAATAGCATTTCAATGGGTAGATCAACATTATTTATGCTGGCCAGTATACATATGTATATATACATGGACATAATATATTTTATGTTTATATGTTTCACCAAACTAATTAAAAGTAAATTTAATATCAAGTTGAGACATAAATGGAAGTCTTTCATTTTATTTATATATTTCTTGGATATTTCATTTACATGAAGAATGAATGTTTCAAGAAAATTTTCGAAACCATTAAACTGTTCAACAGATACTGTACGGTATTTGGGAGACTTCATCTTTCTCATTCTTACGATTTATAATTAAAAAAAGAGAAGCAGTCTGTTATTATATCTTTTAAAATAATTTACTGCATAGATAGATAAATAGTTCTGGTATTATAGTTTTCCCATTGCTTTTGTTCATGGGATCATTATATCATCTATATTTGAATGAAAAATCATAGCTTTTAACACCAGGAGGTAATAAGGGTAGTAATGCAATCATGAGCACATGCTATAAAGTGGGACTGAATCAGTGGCCTGAATTCTGGCTACAGAAATTATTAGGTTTGTGATCTTGGGCTAATTGTTTCCATGAGTTCCAGTTGTTATCTGATATAATGTGGATAACAATCATATCCATCTCCTAGGCTTGCTGCAAGGATTAAATAAGTATGTAAAGCACTTAACACAATATCTGACATATAACGAGTGTTTCATAAATGACAAATGATGACAATGATAATGATGATGATGATGATTAGATAGTAGCTAAATATCAGCTTAGTATCAATTCCAGGAATATCTTTACCAAAATAAATATTAAGTAGAAATACTGACAATAAATAATTTTAGGACTGCTCTAAGCTACAGTAAAAATATAACTATTTCTACATATATCCAATATATTTGTTTCAAAAATGTTTATAAGGCAAAAATTAAATATTAAACCAAACCGTTCCACTAACTCCCAGTATGTCATCAGGCCTCATCTTCCCTATTTGACCATATTCATCCACATTCCATCACCTCATAGGGAATTACTGATTCCCAGCTGCAGAATGAGA